TCCTATGGTGAGTGATGTTGGTGACGATTTCAACGAACCTGATTTGCTGCGCTCATTTAATTTAAATAGCCTGGTGGACGATTTTCAGCAGGATTCTGTGTCAATCAATTGTAAAGGGCCACTTTTTTGTAACTTCAACCATGCTATTGAATTTTCAGAATTCAATAATCCCCCCTACATTAAGTGATGATCTCCTTGACTCCTCAGAAATTTCTTTAATGACAGGTTTATTGCAGAACCAAGAAATACTAGACAGACAAACAATTCCCGATTGCTGAAAAAGTATCATCTGCAATAAATGTAGATAATGTGATGTCAAAGAAAAAAGTGAGAATACTTAAACCAATCAGCAGATACAATGAGCATTTATCATCAACCAAAAGACTTCCGATAAAAGCTGAACTAGTACAAACACTTTCAAACAAAGAAAACAATTTACGAAAAATGTCGTTAAGGTCATTTCTTTGTTTTACCTGTTAAAATCGTAAAGATTTCAATTTGGGAGAAATGGTAAAATGCATGTTGTGTAACAATTGGGTCTGTTTAAGCTGCAGTGGAACCACATTTTTTGATTACATTTTGTACAACTTGTCTGGGCAACTAAGTAATTATTTTAAGGGTAAAGAGAAAATTATTACTCGCAATAAGTATAATTATTTAATGTAAAACTAATTAGTTTAACGTTTCGCTACCAAACATTAGTTTCGTGGCATGACGATTGATACGATTTGTGCATTTTTTGTGCACTTCTGATTATGTATAACTGTATTTTCGTGTGATTTGTTGAAGGTTGTGCAGCAACTGATTTGGTAAATACTCATCACATTTCATTTCCCTCATAGGCGCGCTGAGGCGTAAATAAATTTTTAAGGTTCGAATCATAATAGCGACACAAGTGATTCTCGGGTAGGTACTCTTTTGGAGAACCATTATATATAATTAGATAATGATTAGTTGGCTCAAAATTAACTATTTACCATTTATTTGGCTTAGTCTGCGTTTTATCTTAGTTTGCATCGACGTTTCGGCCAGTTGGCACTGGCTTAAACGTCGCGCATCGTTGCAAACAAACACGTTGAAATTCAGTAAACATTTTTCAGTATGTCATGCAAGTGCGCAGTCTGCACACTGGCGCAGAAATTGAAAAGAATATTATAGCTCTTAAATAAATATGAAATTGTAAGTAATATCTTTGTAGTCCACTCCGTAATTAATATTTTTTGCCCTATTATTTAAGCATATAGCTGTGCGACGGGACGACTTTTTCAAATAATTCATTTTCAATAATAAAAATTGCATTGTGAATGCAAAAAATTTAATAAGAATAATTTAAGTAGGAAATATTGAAACAAACTTTTGAATAAAGACTTTAGTGAATAAAAATAAATAGTTTCCGACATTGTCAATATCTACCAAAGAACGTGTGCTCGGTGCTTAGCACCAAATTATTTGTTTTATAAGATTTGTTATTGTGACGGCACAATATTTGTTACGAGCTAAGATTGTTTAAAATGTTTATCAATTAATCTGAAATGTAAGCCTAGCTTTACTTTTCTTTAGCGTCACTTCAAGTTCCAATAGCCTCACTGTCCCATTTTTAAAGAAGGATAAATACTTTAATCATTTAAAGAAGAACAATGATACAAACATATTAAATTATTCACATCTAAAACAGTAAAATTTTACTTATTTTTTCATACGAAGATTCTTTATCACTGTGTATAGATTCGTAAATACTGAAATAAAAACAAGTGAAATGAACAAGAAGTGACGCTTAGGATATATTTTACTGAAATTATCTTAGTTTTTGTGCACTGATTTTTATTGTTTTATTTTGAAATAAAAGCCAAACGATGTTTCTTTGTAATAATTTAAAAAAATGATTATGCCATTGATTGTTTTTTTAATCACAAGTGAAGTTCGTAACGCTAAGGGAAAAAAATGTACGTTTGTCCTGTTAAAATCTTATTTACATGATTCATTACGCCATAAACAACTAAGTAATTGTATTTTCTGTAAGGTTTATTAAATACTCTATTAATGCTGTAATCACTTTAAAAAAATAGTGGAACTCCGTCGCGTCACGAGCAAGCCACCTGAGAACGGCTCTTACGCATTTATCTATGAGTAGAACTCTCAGTTCTTACCACAAACTAGTAAGTGCTAGCGCAGTTATGGCTAAATATTAATGATGGCACTCGAGCCATGTTTCACTCGAGTCACTTGAGTAGCTATTATTTTACTCACAATCGATTTTCGAACTTGGATTACGAGTGACTCAAGTCAGCTCGAATGACTCGGATCACTCCAGTGGCCTGTACCGACTCGAGTGAAAAATTCAAATTAAAACAGATTTAGTCGATGTATCTTCAATTTGAAATTAGGGATAAATTTTTTGGTGAGTTTGTATTCAATAATATGTTTATTTAAGACTGTTTGTTATTAGAACATGTACGAAATGGGCGAGTGCATAAAAATTTACAGTGTGGTCGTTTTACATCAAAAATGTGAAACAAGAAGTGCCAAAACTTAAAAATTTGTATAGCAGACTTCAATGTAAATAAAATTAGAATATGATCAATGCATTCGAAGTCAATTAAGTACACATAATTAAAGACAGCTCAAAAACGGCTAGTCAGATCTTGATTAAATTTATATGGGACCACACGAGAAGGACTGGCTTTCAGATAGAAAAGAATCATCAAAGTTGGTTCACGCAAAGAGAAGTTCTCTGGTAACTCATATCAAAAAAGCACACAGTCGAATTGAATACCTCCTCCTTTTTGAAGTCGGTAAAAAACAGTTATTTATACATTGTACAAGAAAGTTACAAAGACTTTGGGAATACTGCCAACTTCATTTCTCATATGAAGAATTAAGTACGGTTCAGTATAAGGATATTAGAGGTGAGTCAAGATCATATCGTGCGTTTTCTTCAACTAAACCTTAATTTTTTGCTCCATAGAAATATGATAGCTGTCATTTAGTATACAAGCTATAGTATATCTTGCAAATTTTAACGATTTAACATAACTGGATTCTTTCTACGAGCGATAATTAACTGGATTCTTTCTTCGGTTGAGTGTTTGTAAGTTTGATTTCGAAAATGCTTTTTAAACAAACCCAAGTATGTTTAAAACTCAGAGTAATTACTAGCATAGAGAGAGTCCTAAAATAGGAACAAAATTCTTATAGCTAAAGTCTTTATAGATATGACATATGTTTACTATAGTACAAAATAAGATCACATTCTTTATTTTATGGTAAAGATGGCCGTTTTTTCATTCCATAGACACCTCTATTAAACTAACTTTCAGTTATGTCCCAAAAATAGTAAAGTTATTTCATTACGAGAAGAAAGAGACATGTATGAAGTGGATCACGCCACAACTAAAACAGCCCTTACTGTACTGTTTATATTTTGCGCCAACGGAGATGTAACACCTCCATTAGTAGTGTTTCCCAACAAGAGGCTTCCCAAGGATGTAACGTCATCAGTTCCAGATGAGTGAGGCATTGGTCTTAGCGATACTGGCTGGATAAAGTCTGAACTTTTCTATGATTATATCAAAAATGTGTTTCATCCTTACCTCTACAAAAGAAAGGTAACATTCCCCGTCATACTATTTGTAGATGGACACAAAACACATCTCAGTCTTGAAGTAAGTGAATTGTGCAGCAAATTGCAGATTGTTTTGATATCAATTTATCCTAACGCCACACGGATTCTACAGCCAGCTGACGTGTCAGCATTTAGACCTCTCAAAACTGCATGGAAGGAAAGTGTCCTGAAATGGAGGAGAGATCATCCTTTGGAGACTCACAAGGAACAATTTCGTACCTGTTCTCAAGGAGGCTTTAGAGGTTGATGTCAAAGATACGACAATTATAAATAGATTCAGGACTACTGTCTTATGTCCCTGGAACTCTGATGCAATTAACTACAATAAATTTCTGGGTAAAGAAAGTAAACACGATGAAGAACCAAAAGAAGACAAATTAAAACCAGGGATGGAAAAATCATGATTTTTTAATTTTAATCAAATCATGCTGATTTTTTTTAAAAAAAATCATGATTTTTTTAATTTATTTTGATTTTGTTTTTTTGTATATTTTGAAATTCATGTTTTGGTAACACTTTTTGACATAGTAGGATTAAAATTTTGAACCTGGCAACACAAAAAAAAAAAAACAAACGTCAAACAATTCGGTATTTGTCATTCTTTTCTTTGCATACTTTGAAATTGTTAACAATGTTGACATTGTTCTAAAATTACTTGCAAATTTTGACGATAATGAGTAACGCTGGAAGAAAAAAGGACCCAGTTTGGGTAAATTTCATCGAAGTGTCAAACAAAGAAAGGGGAAATCTGGATGTCGAGCAGAATGCCGAAAATGTGGAAAAAGTATGCAGGGTTTGGTGAACAGATTGAAGGAACATTTGAAAACATGTAACACAGGTAACAACATATGAATTTTACATTCATACCTATCTATCAATTATTCAGAATTTCGGCTCTCAGGCCTGTCGACTATGCTTACGTACGCTGCTCTTGTGTTTGTGCAAAAGGAGAAACTAGACAAGCAGATGGCAAGGGCAATGTTCGCTACAAATTGCCCTTTTTCATCTATAGAACACCCAGAAGTACTAAAAGCAATTGAGATGCTGCGGCCTGGATAGACCCCCAACCCGCAAAACAATAGGTGATCGACTGCTGAATCAAATTTATATGGAAGAAAAGAAAATAAGTGATACAAAACTAAACGGAAAATATGTTTGTATGTCCATCGATGGATGGTCCAATGTCCATAATGACCCTATCATTTGTGTATCTTTGACTACAAACACCGGAGAAGTATACCTGTATGAAAGTATAGACACTTCAGGTAGTCTACACACAGCGGATTACCTGACAGACTTAGCATCAAATCTAATCAAAAAGTGCAAAAATGACCATGAACGCCAGGTAACTAGCCTTGTCACAGACAACGCCTCTAATATGGAAAAAATGTGCGATAACCTAAACCTAAATCAGCACGTCGATATTAACATCTTTGCCTTTGGCTGTGCACCACATATACTAAATTTGCTATCTAAAGATTTGTCAGTGCGTGAGGTCAAGGAACAAGTAGTTCATGTCGTGAAATATTTTCGCAATAACCATTTTGCGAATGCTAAATACAAGAAAGAGCAGGGAAAACAGCTGATACTTCCCCAAGATGTACGTTGGAACACATTTACTGACTGCTTGGAAAGTTATCTTGCAGCATGGCCTAAGTTGATAAAAATTTGTGAAGAAAACAAAGAGAACATTGACAGAGTCGTTGCACAAAAACTGAGTAATATAATCAAAAGATCGGCAGAAGATATGTTACAAATATCAAAACCGATATCAGTTGCACTTGATAGGCTCCAAGCAAGCTACGCAATACTCAGTGACACAGTTCAGTGCTTCATAGAGTTAGAGGCCACATTTGGTAGTAACGGAGCTTCTGCGGAACAGATTAATGCTTTAAAAATGAGAAAAAATCAAGCAATCACTCCAGCACATTTGTTGGCGTTTCTAATAGATCCAACAAAAAATAACCACAAATTGACAACTGAAGAACGTGTTTCAGCCATGGACTTTGCCTTAAAATATTATCAAAATATTGGACTGCTACCGTTAATAATTAAATATGAAGCCAAATCTGAGTCTTTCACCGAGATCATGTTCACCGAAGAGATTAAAAAATGTAAGGGCAATGGAATGGTGGTTATCAATTATAGAAAAATATGATGGATCAAACCATGCCTTAATTAAAGCAGTTTCAATCTTGTTCATAGCTACAGCATCTTCGGCGTCAGTTGAAAGAATCTTTTCAACATTTGGTTTAGTTCAGTCGAAGTTACGAAATAAATTAGGGAACGAAAAAGCTAGCAAACTTGGTTTTCTTTTTAAAAGGTACAATTGTAAAAACTAAATATTTTATTTTGTTGATTTCAGATGTTTACGCAGGCAAGCGTCCTTTTATATTTTATGTAATTAATCTATTTTGGATTAATTTTCCAAAGTTTATGAATATATGTATGAGACTGATTTAAAGATTATTTAAGAGTAAAATAATACTGTATTAATTACAGTGCATACCTTAAGTGTGAATTTCTTAAAAATTATTTGGTTGATTTTATTAAGTATACTAAAACTGTACAGTACAGTAAACTGACAGACCTTATCGTTGCAGTCTTTGTTGATTTTTCAAAGTTTATGAGACTTGTGGTAGAATAATAAGAATAACATAAAACAATAAAAGATTTTACCTTATTTTAAGCCAATTTTATTTCATTTTCTGCTCATTACATTAATTTATAGATGTTGATTTAAATCAATGATTTTTTTATCAAAATCAAGCGATTTAAATCGGTCTGATTTAAATCAGCCAACCCTGTTTAAAACTACAAGACAATTCAAATAAAAAAAAATTATGACACGCGAAACTTTAGAAAACATTGTAGGGCAGGAAAAGGTTACATTTCTGCAAAGAACGCCGCTTGAAAATCTGACAGAAACAGAAAGGATTTTGAAGAAAATTTGTTGCTTTTTTGACAATCAAGAAACTGATACGTCCACAACCAAAGAAACTCACATCGAAATTTAAAATTTCGAAGCAGTTGGATTTCAAAACATTGATCAATTACCAGTAATATTAGCAGAAGATTTTGTAGATGATATGCAAGCTATGACAACTTCTATAACGAATGAACAATGTTGTAACAATACTGAAGATTGTCTTGGTAGTACGCAATTGGTATGTCTTGATAGTCAACAATATTTACTAACTAACTAACACCAGTCAAATTACAGGACGTTTTGATTGCTGAAAATAACACCTGAACGAAAAGGTGTTAAAAATGTAGAGAGATCATCATTCGTGCTTATTAAACGTAATCAGCGGAATGGCAGAAGACTGAAAACGACAAATTAAAAGCTTAGAAACTTAAAGAAGAAGAACAAGAGACTCGCAAGAAGAAAAGATTACTTAAACAAGATGAGAAAAAAACAAAACAAAAGAAACTACCAGAAACAAGATTAACAAGAAAGCTAAAGGAACAATAGAAACTAAAAAACAAGAGACTGAAGCTAATCTTACACAGGAGACTAAAGTAAATAAAACTAAAGTAGAAACCACCAGAAACAAGATCAACAAGAAAGCAAGAGAGGCAATAGATACTAAAAACCGAGACACAGAAGCTAATAATATACTGGAGACAAAAGGAAATAAATCATAAGAAACTTTCATTAATCACCACCAGACATTTAAACATGAAGTTATTATTCATAACACGAATATACCATCCTCACCTGAAAATGAACACCCGTTTAACATTAAGAAAAGAAAAGCTCAAGAGCAGAGTATGTATCCACCAAATAAAAAAATCCAAATTCTTTCCGACATTAAACTTAATTTACCACCCAGAACCTCGCAAGTTGGTCAAAGAGATAACAACCAAATAGACCAGTTGGAAAAATAATAAACAATAAAAGAAAGAAGACTTACTCATTACAAGAACTAGAGAAGATCCTTAGAGGATTAGAAGAAGTGATAGCAAGAGCCTATCCTTTATTTTATTTTATTTAGGTACTTACTGGTACCCTTTATTATGTGCAATTTTATGTTTCTTAACAACTTCCCTGTCCCCATACAACCCATTTTGATAATGCCCCACGTCCACAGGTTTTTTTTATTGTTACGCTAAATAAAATCATTATTATATCATAAAAAATAACTTTCATAATATATAAAGAATAAACAATTTTTATTTTCAGTTTTTTTTTTTGAGACACATGTGACTCACGGACGTAGGGCGATAAATTTTATTTACCACTCTCAATGAGTCATGTGTGAACACAACCTCCAAGTGCATTTTTAAATGACAGTGACAAATCATCCGTCAAATGTCAATCGACTGTCATAACTACAACTATATTAGAAAGTTGAATGTTTATTTGAGGTTCTAATTAATATACGTCTTGAAAAAAGGCCAGGTTAAGAGTACCCTAAACCGTAGAGCATGTATGAAGGGAATAATGAAAGTAGACGAAGCGAAACAAGTATGTAAGGATCGTAGCAAGTGGAAAGAAGTGGTCTCTGCCTACCCCTACGGGAAAGAGGCGTGATTATATGTATGTATGTAATTAATATTTTATTGGAAAAAGGTCTATTTGTGATTATAAATTAAAAAAAAATCTAAAAAAGGCTAAGAGAAGATATTATACAGATGAAGAATTATTGCGGTATTTAGAAAATTCAGATGAAGAACCATTTAGTAGTGGAAGTGACGAAGAATATCAGCCCAACGATGAAGATGAAGACATCGAGGAATCCGAGGTAATTACAGATTTTATAGCAAGTAGGTAGTGCAGGCAGAAGTAATGAGAGTCCGTCACCCACACCGTTCGCAACGCAAGTTCATCGTTATTCAAACCATCTGATGCCGAATGGAAAAGAGATGTTTTGCCTTTAGGGAGGGAAACGTTTATAAGCAATAACGGTGTACAAAATATCGACGCAATTACTGAAGATGGGAAAGTTAGTTCGTTTAAAATTTATGCTTATTTTGTACCTGATGATTTAATTGATGCTATGGTCATTCATACCAATAATTACGCTCAGTTGTTAAAGAAATTACGAATTGCACAATTTAGTCGAATGACGAGATGGAAAGACGTCACTAGAGAGGAATTGAAAACATTTCTATGGAGTGCTAATCTACATGGGTCTCAATCCTAAACCGTCAATTGAGCACTACTGGAAATTATATTATAATCCTCTTATCCACAGAATAAATATGTCGTATAACAGGTTCAGCTCCATTCTAAGATGCTGGCATTTTACATAAATTCAAATAGGTGTCATTGGAGAGCAAAGAACTTATAAAATAGACCCACTCATACATAAAATGGTGAACAATTTTCGTAGTATTTATATACCTTCCGATATTATTGTCGTTGAGGAGTCAATGGTCAAATTTCATGGAAGGTTGCTAATAAAAACTTATAACCCAGCCAAAACAGATCGCTACGGTATGAAAATATATAAGGCCTGCACAATAAATAGCTACACATGGTCCTACCAAATTTATTCCGGGATTTCGCATCAATTAGAGAGTCTTGATAAACCTGGTTCAACAGTGGTACAGCTTACAGAGCCGCTTTAAATGCAGGTCGTATTATTGTCGCTGACAACTATTATACCAGTTTGCCATTGGCTGAGTATCTAAAAGGTCGCAATACTGATTTATGCGGTACTTTACGTAAAAATAAAAGAAATTTGCCAGAAGAAGTAGTAAAAGCGAAGCTAAGAAGGGGAGAACAAATAGCTAGACAAAAGGACAACCTCTATACTGTACTAAAATGGCATGATAAACGCGATGTCCTTATGATCTCAACCTGCCATGGAGACGGTATGTCTAACGTCACTACCAAACGCGGCGACATTATGAAACCTGATGCAATCATCGATTACAATGATGCCAAAAAAGGCATTGACATTTCAGATCAACTTGCTTCCTTTCATTCGCCGTTACGTAAAAGTTTAACGTGGTACAAAAAGATAGCAATAGATTTCCTATTTCAAGTCGCCATTATCAATGCCAGATGCATCTACAACGAGTTGGCAGACGGTCTTAAGTTGACAGTTTTACAAGTCCAAGAACATCTAGTCCGACATTTCCTTGGACCTGTAGCATCAACCACAGAAAGAAATCAACCTCAAAAATCTTCCATCTCCTGTAGCTCTCCAAGATCTTCAATAGCTTCTTCAAGTAATTCTGGACATTCTCTACAAGAAATACCTCGAAAGGCACAATCACCGAAAGGTGCTATGTCAAATTGAAAAATGAAGGATTATTCGCAAGAAAAGCGAAGCAAGTACACACTGAGTACAAAGGGTGTGAAAAAGCATTCTGTTTAGAATGTTATAATGAGAAACATGCTTGATTTTATAATACTACTCTGTGTAAAAAGTATCGGAAATTAGTCAATAAAAAGACCCGCGTAAAAGAGGTCGTTCTAATTTTTTTTACTGCATGTTGGTAGCACTGTACTGATTTAGCGCGCAAAGTTTGAGCGGGATCTGTCATTTAATTTGTTTTAAACTACACTTTTTGTTGGTCATAGTTTTGAGTTCTCGGCGATTTTTACAATGGAAAATATTGTTGAACAAAGAGTGTGCCTTAAATTTTGTGTTTCGAATGATATTTCATGTGGTGAATCACTAAAAATGTTGCGAAATACCTACGGCGAATCGTGTATATCGAAAACAAGGGCTTATGAATGGTATAAGGCTTTTAAAGAAGGCCGAGAAGTAGTAGTAGACTTGCCTCGTTCTGGTAGACCTTCAACCGCTACGACCAAAGAAAACATCGACAAAATCAAGAAGCTAGTGCTCGAAAATCGACGTATGAGTCTGAGAGAGTTGGCTAGTGAAGTGAACATATCTTTTAAGTCCGTCCACAACATTCTCATTGACATTTTAGGCATGAAACGCGTCACCGCTCGACTAGTTCCAAAAGAGCTCAATTTTGTTCAAAGAGCGCAGCGAAAGCATGTCGCTGAAGACACGTTTTCCCGAGCTTCTACGGATCCGACCTTTATGAAACGTATAATAACTGGCGACGAGACATGGGTTTATGAGTATGGCATGCAAACAAGCCAACAGTCTTCAGAATGGCGTCTCGAAAACGAGCCGAAACCCAAAAAACCGCGGCAAAGTCGCTCCAAAATCAAGGTGAGACAGTTTTTATTGACTACCGTGGTGTGGTTCACTCCGAATTCCTTCCAAAGGGAGAAACAGTGAATAAAGAATATTATTTAGCCGTCATGAAGCGTTTGCGTAAGAGTATCCACCGAAAACGTCCAGATTTGTGGCAACAGAACTCATGGATGCTGCACCATGATAATGCACCATCACACACAGCCATTATAGTGAAAGAGTTTTTAGCGAAAAATTCAAGAAAAGTTCTCGACCAAGCACCGTATTCACCTGATATGGCTCCGTCTGACTTTTTTTTATTTCCCAAGTTAAAATTACCACTTCGAGGAAAACGTTTTGAGTCGATAGAAGCCATAACAAAAAATTCGCTGAATGAAAAATGTATGGAAGACTGGGTGAAGCGTTGGAGATGTTGTATTGCAAGCGATGGGGCCTACTTTGAAGGCGATAAAATAAATTTAGATGAATAATTTGTATTTTTTGTTTTATTGACAAATTCCCGATATTTAATACACAGAAGGTATATATTTTTTTATAAAATCCTTACATTCCAGTATTTGAGTTTTATTTATTGCAAATTTCTTGTAGAGTTATTGTTGATAAAATGAAAAATATAAAAAAATCGCGAAATTTTATTTTGTCATTGTAAACATTAGGGTTTTTGCTGTACGTCCACGTATATTTTAAAAAAATTTCACGTCGCGTACATACCGAAAAATATGCCTCAAATTATATAGAAAAATGAGTCACAGGTGACTCATGAACTTATTCTAATAAGTTCTTGTGAGTCGTATATGACTCATTGGACAGGAAAGTTGTTGGTTGTTGATACCTACATACAGAGGCGGCTCATATTATTAGAGCCATCTACTTAAATAATCGATTTGGCATTTTAATCAATATATATTGCATTCAAACTATGTCTGCTAAGTTTATATTTTGTTATTATGAATTTATGGATCTGTGTAGATTATGAATTTCTAACTGGCAACACTAAAGAGTGGATAATCTGTCACATGGTCGCCATTTTGTTGTAACACAGTCAGTCGACGCTTAACAGTTTCGTTGTCCGGGTGAGTATTTTGGAGATTATTTATGCATTTTTATCAATTTTTTTTGTAGTGTTGGTGTGTTTTAACAATGTTTGTCCATATGCAGCTTGCTTAAATATGTTTGTTGCTAAAAGAAATCATTTTCACATAAATTTTGTTATTTTATTTGCAGGATATATTTTAATCATGGGAAAAGCTAAAGATCTGTCTCCAAGGAAAATTTGCGAAATTAAAACTTTATTATTGCATACTGGGCATTCCCAAAGAAAGATTGCATCGATTGCTAATGTTTCGAGGGCATCAGTTGACCGAATAAAAAAAAACTTGACACAAATGTGGACCTCACGCCGAAACGTGCGAAAAATTGTGGACGAAAGAAAATTACCACGCCACGTGATGAAAGAAAAGTCAGAGATATCTGTGTTGAAAACAGGAAGGCACCTCGGAAGATTCTTACGAAGAAGGTACAGGACGCTGGAATCAACATTTCCCTAGCAACAGTTCGTCGACGCATGAAAGACTTGGGGTTCATTTGTCGTCGACCGGCTAAAAAACCTCTTCTTACACAGGCTATGATGTCAAAGCGTTTACAATGGGCAAAAGAACACCAGAACTGGACTGCTGAAGACTGGAATAAGGTAGGTGAATAATTCTTGAAGCTGCTGGAAGTAAAAAGCTAGATCCACATTAATTTAAATTAAATTTAAATTTTGATTTCTGTACACTAAAATAATAATAAATATTTCAAGTTTGTTTTTCTGATGAATCGTCAGTGCAAATTTTGTCGGACAAAGCTGTATTTGTAAGAAGAAGGAAGGGTGAGAAATTCAAAGAAGATTGCATAATCAAGCGAGTGAAGCACTCATTCAGCATCATGGTATGGTTCATAATAAGCAGCAAAGGCACTGGTCGTCTATACATTGTGGAGGGAACGATGCGGCAGGATCAATATATCCAGGTCCTTGAGACAAAAATGCTGCCCCAGGTCCAGGAGTGGTTTCCGAATGGCGAATTTACGTTCATGCATGACTCTGCTCCTTGCCACAAAGCAAAAAAGGTCACGAAATTTTTAAATACCCAGAAAGTAAAAGTTCTTGACTGGCCTGGGAATTCGCCGGACCTCAATCCCATAGAGAACCTCTGGGAGTTGATGAAACGAGAAATTTCCAGAGAACTCATCACTAATAAACGCCAACTGATCGAGCGTTTGATAGATGTTTGGCACCGGAGTGAATCAATTAAGATAAACTGCTCAAAATGTATCGAAAGTATGCCCAGGAGAATTCAGGCGGTTATAGAAGCAAAAGGCGGTGTCACTAAATATTGATTTAATTTATATTTTTATATTTATTGCACTTATTAAATACATAAGTTCCGTTTTCTTAAATGTATTAATAAAGCAATATACTTAATAAAATATATTCTAAACAAAAAACCTTCACATCCTGATTCTATTTCTACCTAAACTAAAATTAATCTACTTTTTTACTATGGCTCTAATAATATGAGCCCCGACTGTAGTTTACAGTATTGGTCGGTTACCATATTATATTTAAGTAAAACACTTTCTAGTGATATTTTCGTAAGTCTGAACAAATCATTTAAATTCCTACCTAAGATAACTTTATTAATGTTAAACTTTGTCAACTTTATAAAAGTATTATTATCTTATAAGTGATTGTTTTGTGTTACAGGGTACCTACCTACTAACTACCTATATAAAAAATAAATAAAAAAAACAGATTTTAAGAATGGAAATATTTTTCAATGCAATTCCTAACAGTGATAATTATGTGCTGATAATGAGCTCGCTCTATGCTATTAATTGGGGGCGATGGTGCAAGTAAATGGTGAGAGACCCATTTTTTATTCTTACCTTTCTAAAAAATCTTGGATAGAGGTCAACCATGTTTTTCTTTTAATATCGTCTTCCTTATTGAATATTAGAACTATTAAATTTGCCTTAACGAATAAAGAACTATTTTTCACGATAATAAATAGGCTTAAATTAGGACTAACTCTGAAAGTGCTGATAATTGGGTACTTCACCCTACTATAATATTCCAGCGCAACTTGTCTATCTCCTCTTCAGCTCCAGGATCTTCTCGTCAGTCCTCAGGGTTCGTGCGTTATATTTTACCAGGTCGAGTCGTCTTAGGTGGAAGGCGAACCTCCACCGGAGATTCTTAACACCCCCTGCCCCCCGCCGTTACCTTGGTCGCCACCGTAGCCAGGAATAGCGGGGCCGCCGGGGACTGGGAGCCGTTTATTCGTGTCGTTGCTCATGGGGGTGTATTGCCATAGTTGCCACGCTTGGCGAGCGGGTTGGCAACCGCAGTTTTTTTGTTCTATAATTGCTGTTATCAGAAAGATGCTGCTGCCCATCTCCAACCTGTTTCCCTCGGTCGCCTCTTACGACACCCACGGGAAGATATCGGGTAGTGGATATTCTTAACGGCCATCACACGGCTCAACATTTCTATATATGGCACATAAAATCACTTACAGCAGTAATAATGAGAAAATAAACTCTTTTTAGAATATAATCCATAGTAAACCATACTGATCGACTATTATTAGAGCTTCTCTTATTATTTATGGCACATAAAATCAGTTTATAGAAATAATAAAAAAATAAACTCTTCGTATAACATAATTTTTATTATGTCTTAGAATGTAATTTATACTAAACTATATCACAGTGGTAACGCCAGTTAACAATCTACTTTATCAACATTACATTACTCATCGCATTGCTTTATCAACATGACTAGTGCATATTTTTGTTTCCTTCCTTCCTTCCCTTTCCTACCGCACGCGCTGCCGCCGAGGTGAAGGAAAGGATCTCGGCGCGCGTCATTATACTAAGTGACATTACGCCATCCGCAACGCACGGCCAGCCATCGCGTCTTATATATATTAACCGCAAACCGCGCAGGACGAACATTAAGTTCTCTTGTTTATCTTTAATACTCACCGCATCAGACATTGTGTCTTTGTAACTCATAAAAGTGTGAGACGCCCCCGTAAGGGCAAAGGTCGAGAGTGTGGGACTTCACGAAACTGTTC